AGGAGGGTGACAGCAGATAATGGGAACTCAGACTGTGACAACTCTTCTGCATCCAGACACTTGAGGAGAACAAAGCAACACATGGTTCTGCAGGAACCAGGGAAAGTGGGTTCACTTGGTGAGTGGCCAAGGTGGAGACTATAGGCAAGCAGCAGGTATCTTGTGCCCAGCAACCTCCATCTGCCCAGTCACCTCCTCAGATCCTCTTAAAGTCCTCCTGGTCAGCTCTGTCCCTTTGAGTCCCATGAGGCTGGACTCTACTCCACAGTTGCTGGCCTGGACATGTATCTCAGCCTGACTAACCGGAGCTCCCTCCACCCCATCGTGTTGGTTCAGGGAGGGCCATGTGACTCCAGCTGGAAATTCCTTAGCTATCAGGATGGAGACTCTCACTTTATGAGGGTGTTGAGTTGAACAATGGCAGCTGCTGCCACCAGCAGGGGTGGCAGTGGTGGGAACTGTAAGAAGATGAAGCCAACAAGGAAAATAAAGGCCTAGAAAAAATTATTCCTCATGTCATTTAAGCTGCACTTGAAGCTAGAATCCCTACACTTTTCAGTTATACTGACCAATAAGGTCCCTTTTTGCCCAAGTTATCTGAGCAAAAGTCAAAGTCTTTGAAGTGTTATAAGTATGTCTGCCACACTAACTACTTGGTGGAAATGGACTGACAAAGTGGTAATAACCTGCAGAGTTGTTTGGTTTGTTTGCAGTGTCTGGATACCAGTCACCCAGAACAATCCACACAGAAGCTTCCTGTTGTCCCTGCCCTGAGGACAGAGTGGTAATTTGAATCTCTGCTTTGAGGCTGTTGCTCCAGCTTGTACCCGCAATGGGATTATTCATTCTACAAACACTCATGCAGACTTCTCAGGGCTAGCCAGAAGACAGGAAACAGACATGGAGACTGCGGCCACAGGGCTAGGAGAGTGCAGTGTGGAGGGTGGGGAGACACTCAGGCTTTAGACCACAGAGTAAGCTCCTCATTGGGGACAGGGGACAAGGAACAGGGCTGGGGGTGGGGGTGCCCTAGACAGAAGCACTGCTTCCCCTGAAGACAGAGGGACAAACTGCAAGTCTTTCCAGAACACCATCCCAGAGCACAGTGGGTTTAGAGGGCAATTTTCAAGCAAAAGTTTCTTCAAAACACAGGCCATGCGGTCACAGTCCCTGCTGCCCAAGGACATGAATAAACAAGAAGCTGGTCTCATGTTGCCAGGTCCGAGTTCCAAGGGAACATCACCAAGGCTGAGTCCAGGGTTTGGAAGGATTTGCAAGCCATGTGAAAATATGTGCGTCAAGATTTGTGTGCTGACAACCATCCCCCAGGGTGATGGTGTTAGGGGACAGGGTCCTGGGGAGGGTATAAGGATGTACAGTGAGGCTTTCATGACTAGATTAGAGCCCTCAAAAGAGATGCTGAGAGCTAGCTGCAGATGCCAAAATGGGTCAAGGAGCCTCAGTGCCCAGCTGCTGCTCTGCCCTCAGCTGAAGACAGGGCACCTGGGCTGGGAAAGCGAAGTAAGTGTCCTGGCCATTAGGCAGCTATGATGACATATTTGAACTTAACCCTATTTCACATTTATCTATCTTCCATTTTGTACCTTATTCATATATATATTTCCCATATAAGAGAAAACTCGCAGTGTTTAAACTTATGCATCTGATTTATTTCACTTAATATTATGTTCTCAAGTTACATTCATTTGCCTATGAGTGGCTCAAATGATTGTATTAATTTACATTTTCAGCGATAATGTAAAAGAACTCCTTTGTTCCCCCATCCTTTCCAGAATTTGTTATTAATAGATTTTTATGGTAGCCATTCTTTCTCAGAAGTACAAATGGCCAATAAATATATGAACAGATGTTCAGCATAGCTCACCATTAGATAAATGCAAATCACACCTACACGAAGATATCACTTTATCCCAAGAATCACCTTTTAAACCTGTTTTACAGGGTGGTCAGGCAATTACTATTATCAACACCTTTTGATAGAAGGAGAAATTGAGGCAAACAGATTAAGCAATTTAACTGAGCTGACACCCAAGAGCAGATGGGACAGCCAGAATTCTAATCCAGGCAATCTGACCTAAGCCACCCAGAATCAGCCACAGGTACAGACAGAAAAGAGTGTTCAGGAGTCACTGGGAAAGAACAGGTCTGTGAGATGCCAGGCCAGCAGCAAGGGTGGGAGGAGGAGGCTCAGGACCCTGGCAAGTCTGTCTGTCTCATCGTAACCAGTGCAGAGAGCCCTTGGCTTACAATTTACTATGAATTTACAGTGGCAGCATAGTGTAGTGGTGCATGGCTATAACCCCAGCATTCATGTGCTCATGTGGCTGAGGTATTAGCATCATGTAGGTTCAAGGCCATCCTGGGCTACGTAGTGAGTTCAAGGCCAGCCTGAAATACATAGCAAGACCTATAGAAGGAGGAGGAGGAGGAGGAGGAGGAGGAGGAGGAAGAGAAGAGCAAGAAGAAAAACAAGAAAAGGAAGGAAAAGGAGGAGGAGAAGGAAGAGGAGAAAGAGGAAGAGGAGTGGGAGGAGGAGAACTTAAGGTGGTGACAGAGCATTAGATCAGGCAATGTGAGTGCTTAGGAAAACTTCCAAAGCTGGATCTTGAAAGACAATGAAGCTCCCACCTCGTACCCTGGGGACCTGTGTGAGGGCCTTTGTGACCCTCTTAGAAGCCTGGCTGCCTCTACTGGAAGCACCAAGAGAAGAAATCAGAGATGCCCAGGCGTGACAGATGAGGGGGCAGTCTTTGGGATGACCCCACCTCGGCTACCATCTGATAACAATATCACCAGGGACACAAGTGGAGCTTCACAGTTGGGCTGCTCCAAACTCCTGGCCCCCAGAACCCTTAGGTATTTCCTTTCAAGCCACTAGGTGCTGTGGTAACCTGATGGCAGCTGTAATAACCAGAGTAACAGGGAGGGAGGAACTATGGTGTGTGGACAACAGCGCTCTGGACAGAGTGCAGGGAGGAGCTAAAATGAAAGTATGGGGCTGACCTGGGGACTTCCCAGCCCAGTACATGGAAGGGATCACATTTTGCTCATTCATTCTTCATTCATTCATTCATCCATCAGCAAGTCTGAATGAATCTCCATGCTGTGAGCTTCCCACTGTCATCTGGATGCCACTGCAAGACTCTCATGTCCACTCCAAGGTAAGAACCCTATCTCCAGTGCACAGACACAGAGATGAGGTTCATGGAGCCAAAGAAGGAGCAGGAAGTTGATGGCAGTGAGGCTCAGAGTGGCTGAACTTTCCTCTGTACTCAGATCATACTCAAATGCTCCCAGGCTGTGTGACCTTAGACAAGTCGCTCAACTACTCTGAGCCAGGTTTAATTTTTCTCTTGAAAAGCAGAGTACCGTTTGTAGGGAAGGGATTAAAGCAACACTGGGTTTTCTGGAGAACATGATGGCAGGGGCCAGTGGTAGCTCCTCTTCCAGCCAGAGCCCTGCAAGTTGTGTTCTGTCTGTCCTTAAGCAGCCTGACTGTTCAAAACTTCATCAGGATTTGGAAAAACAAAAGGAAAGAGATGATGCTGCGTGATAGTCATCTTAACCCCCCAGAAACAAGCAGGGAGGAGGTGCCCAGGTCCCAAGGAGGAAGCTCTGTGCTCATGCAGTTTGAATTCTGTGGGCTAAGGCAGGGAGACATAAGGTAAAGCACAAAATATGCATTCCATGTTCACTTGGTACCTGAACTGCCCTATCTCAGTCAACTCTTCTGCCCTGCAAGGTGGGAGGCATTATTTTTCTCATTCAAGAAGAAACCAAGGCCTGCAGAGGGTACGTGACTTGCCCAAAGTCATACAGGTGGGAGGAGCCAGAAATTGAAGAGCAAACTGGAAATCCCTCAGTCCCCAGGGTGAAGACTATATGCTGTCCTCAGGCTAGAGAAGAGATTCCTCAGGTTTGTAGATTAAGGGTGGAGGCCTAGAGAGGTAGAGCTGCCCAGTGAGTCTCCTGGTCCCCGTGGCAGCAGGATTTAAGATCAGAGTGTCTGGCAGAGTCTGGCCATCATACAACTGTAACTGCAAATTTCCACACCTTGGCCCATCATCCCAGTCCAGCCTCAGACAACCTACCCCAGGGCATGACAATTTCTCATCATTTTCACAGCAATCCGGTCAGAGCCATACCAGTTTACATAGCACCCCCAGGTCCTGGAGGAGAAGTGCAAATAGGAGCTGGCTCCCCACGGTGCACCCACTTCTCTGAGTCTCCAGAAACTCATGGCTGAACTTCCCTTCCACAGCCTCACTCTGCCCTCCCTTCCCCTCTCTGTGCTCTCCAAGAGTCACTTGCCCTTGTCTATGGCCCAGGCTAACAAGGAACCCAAGGGGAAGGTGCAGAGGCTGAGAAGGGGGAGCTTAGGGACTGAAACTTGAGAACCCAGCCTTGTGGGGCAGGGCTGGGAGGAGATAGAAAGGCAGAGCCAGAAGGCAGCACAGAAGCCCTGAGTTCGAAGCTGTGGGGACTGCAAGTGTGCTATGTGCCTGGCTCCACATGTTTGCCTTTTACTGCTCTGGGACACCTAGGCCCCAGCGTGACTATCTCTGGCCTCAGAGGTAGGACGAGCAAAGTAGGTTCTGTGACTCCTTGGGGTCAAGAGGAAGAGGAAGGAAGGACCAGAGCAGAGGTGAGGAGTAGCCTGGAGGGAGCAGAGGCCAGGAAGCCCTAGAGCAGTGGGCCTTGCTGTATAAACAGCCACGGACAGTGCTAGCCATACAGGAGTCTGAAGCTGCAGGACCTCTGGGGACCTGTGCCATCGGGGACACAGACCACGCTGGTGTCCCAGGCACAAGGCTGGCTAGTGGGAAAAGACAGCCTGTGAGCGCTCTGAGTGGATTCTTCAACCCATCACACGTCTCTGGATGCTCTCCCGACCAGCCATGCTGCTGGGCAGCCTCCTCTTCCTGATAGCCACCATGACTGCAGCCCAAAGGAGGGGACAGCAGGCAATGAGGGGAAGGATGCAGTATCAGATCAAGAATGGCCTGTGCAGCTACACCTTCTGGGTATCGGGACTTCCATCCTGCAACCCCAACTCTACCACCTTGGGGGCCTCCAACCACACCCAGAATAACCAGCCACTCCTGGTACACATGAGGCTGTTGTTCGACCATCAGATGGAGAAGATGGAGAACGCACTGAGGAACAACATGCAGAGGATGGAGAAGGTATGGCAGGGCTGGGGAGGAGGGGCAGTTCAGGGCTGTCATCATCAGCAGGTGTAGTGTGCAGCAAAGAAGTCTTGCTGGGCACACAGGGATGAGAAATTTACGGTGCAGAAATTGGGATGTGAAGCCCGAGAGGGGCACGGGTGGATCCGATGAGAAAAGACAAGAGTGGGCAGCAGGGGAGCAGGAAGCAGCTCCTCACAGCCATGTGTTCAGGCTGAACACAGACCAGGCCTGTCCTTGGTGAGCAGACAGCAGGGAGAGAACAGTTTGTCCCTTCTGGAGGAGGGGGAGAGACAGGCCATGAAGAGATGTCTGCTGTGTCAGATGGTGACCCAAAGGGAAGGAGACAGAGGGCAGGGTGTGGCCAGGCTGTCTGAGCTCAGATCTGACAGGATATCACAGAGGATGTCACAGAGGACAGAGCACAGAGGTGGCCTCTGATCCCAGAGGATAAGTGAAGTAAGCATCTGTAGGCATGGTCTCACTGAGGCACAGTGCCAGGATTACAAAGATGAAATGTGATCCCCTCCCTGGGGACAATGAGGTATCATTTTGACTAGAGCAAAGGAAGAGGAGCCAGGACTAAATCCAAGAAGTGAGGGAAGAACCAGCCATGAAGACCCCATGGGCCCCATAAGAAGATTCTGGCTCCTACCCTGAGTGTCACAGGAGCCACAACACAGTTTTGAGGTGCAGTTGTACTGCTGCTTTGGATTTAACCACATGAAGTGTAGGAGATAGTTGGATTCTAGGAGCCCAGGAAGAGGCTTTGTGGCCACTTCAGCCACCAGCCATGGGCCCTAAGCAGTTTGGGGCTAGAGAGGGCAGAAGAGTTGATTTTATAGGGAGTGAATCATTTTTGCTGAGAATCAGATGCAGAAAGGCAGAGAATAGCAGCTGAGTTTCACAGCAATGTGGGTCAAGGCCAGGACCGCTAAAGGACCTCCTGTCATTGTCTCTGTCCTTCAGCCAACGCTGAGCACTGCTCTGTGCCCCAGTGAGGCAGGGTGGAAGGAAGTGCACTTGGCTCTGGAGCAGTGTGGGTGGAGCAATGGCCAGTGGAGTCCAGGGTGCAGCTGGCTGGAACCCCTAAGTAGCAGCTGCCAAGGGAAAAGAACGTGGTGCCGGGTGGAGCTAACTAGAGATGAGTGTGTTCCCTATGGGAGGTAGGACACTCTTGCCCCTGTGGTTTCGGGGTTCTTTAAATCTCATGTCCATTTGGTGGAAAAAAATCTGCTCCCCAATATGCACATGTTTACCAATCTTATACACAGGACCCACATTCGTACGATGAATCACATGGGGTGACACATAGAAGTAGAACTGTAGGAAGATGATGTAGGAAGCCATGTAAATAGAAGTTCTGGCGGCCCCACTTCCGTTTTCCTAAGCATTGTCTTGTGCATTTACCCATCCCCAGAGCAGAGAGGCTATGCAGGATCCAACCACAAGTTTGCCCACACACCGTGCACACGTGCATACTGACCCCTGTCCTTGCTCCTGCCTGGCTTCCTCACACCTTCCCACCATTGCTCAACCGTGCTGCCTCCCTCCATCCTCCCCCTGATTCCCACTTCCGTCCTCCTGGAGAGTGTACTTGGCCTCCCAGCAGATGGGTCTCCAGGTAGGTCACTTTCCTCAGTGACCTGAGACATGGCAAGGCTCACTTCCTCTTCCTGCCTTATCTTCACATGTGCTTGCCTGTTCCATCCTCAAAGATTTCCAGGTTACATGACACTTGGGGGGTACTGTGCAGGCAACCATGCACCTTCCAGGCCCTATACCTTCTTTGGGCTTCTAAGGAAGGCGTCCCTACTTCTGTGGTAGCCACTCCTCACTCCCAGACTCCGAAGCTATATTTTATATCCCCTCAGCCCTCTGCAGCCACCACCCTGCCCCAGTCTCCAGGACTTCTCCCTGCAGGCCTTTCACCTGTGCATCTCATCACACCCCAGGGTCTCCCAGGTAGAAAAGAAGGAAGAGAAGGGAGGAATAGTGGGACAGGAGTCTCTTCCCAGCTCAGAGACATCCTCGGGCTCGGCCCCTTTTTCCCCACTGCCATTTACACCTTGTGTGGCCACTCCAGCTCTCAAATCCAATAGCCCCAGCTTAGGCTTCACCTTCCCTGATTATTAGCAAATTTAACGTTGGTGACCAACACCAGCCTCCCGGGAACTGTCTGCCTCCGCTGCCCTGTGGACACCACACACCTACTCTGTCTCTTTTCCCTCCCTCTTTGGCTTCCATCAGGACCAGCTGCCTGTGTCTCCTGCCTGCCTCCTCCCTAGACTCTGTCATCTGTTCTCCACCCAGACAATAGAGGGCTCCCCATAAACCTAAGTGAGACATTGTGCCCCTAGTGTTGCAACTCATCAGAATAAGAGCGGAATCCTTCATCCATGGAATGCCCTATCCTAAACACCCATGCACCTTTCCCCCAACCCCAGGCCTTCGATCACACATCATGGCCCCCAAGGGACCCTTCCTTACTGCCAAAGTTATACTGACGTGTCACCCCGATCCCTTCGCTGCTGCTGATTTCCTAACACAGGTCACTATGTGACGGTCTCAAAAGCATTTAGCCTTAGATGTGGGTTTTGGGTTCCTAGAAAGTAGGGACCAAGTCTGATTTGCTCATTCTGGGTCCCCAGTTCCTCAAACAGCACTATCATAGAGCCAGTGCAGGAGAAATCTCTGTTAAGTGAATGAATACATGAACACTCTTCTAGTCTCAGTCCATCCATCTCAGTCTGATCTGCAATGATACCAATTGCCAATGGGTGGGATCCTAAACCCCAAACTCCCAGACCTAAACCGCCAGAATCATCCTCCCAAGGTCCATGGGGCCCCAAGTGCACAGCTGCTACACCCCTCCAAGTATACCCCCCCCTTTAGGGCTTCCTGATTGCCTAAGGTGCTGGAATCTTCTCTGCCACCTCCTCACCCCAGGCAGCAGGTCCCCTACCTTGTGACCTTGGCTGCTTCTGTCTCCCTTGGTGCTGCCCTGGGACACAGCCATCTGTGCTTTCTGTCCCAAGTCTCTTCTCTCCATCTCTGGGTTCCCTGAGTGCCTGGATGTTGGGAACCTGTGGCTGTTCCCAGTTGGGAACTGTTGGCTGAACCAATAGATGGATTTCACCTGACAGTCTTCTGGGTCAAAAGTTCCCTCATCCCAGGTGCAGTGTCCTCTCTAGGTGACCCCAACCTACCCTGGCAGTCCTGGTCAGAGGACTCATCATGTGGGCCATGGAAGGGCTAAAGATGTGGAAGTCTAGCCAACCCAAGTTCATATCTGGTCCTGGCACTCACCTGTTACACAGCCGAGGATGAACCAGTCTCAGTTACCCTGTCTGCAATATGGAGAACACAACAGTATGCAGAGGATGGCTGGGGACACGCCATTCTCAGCCTGCTGCCGGGCTACATGCATCCTAAGGACACACATGTCCCTCCAAGACAGGAGTGAGGGGCTCAGTTCCACATAGTCCCCACTTGAACCCCTGTAACTCTGAGCTCAAAGTTTAGTCATCACTGGTCACACAGTCCAAGTCTCACAGGCTTCCTTGGGGCTTAGAATGTGACCTATCTGTATCTGTGTCCTCAGCAGGTCCCCTCCCGCCAGTTTCTGGTGGGGTCCAGACAGGCATTTGCTGCACCATTTCTTAGAAAAGGGTCACTTGGTTTAGTGCCCTCTGCCACAAGTCACCCACAGGCCTGAGCACACCTGGCCACCACTCTCCCTGGGTCTGTCACCAGTTTTGGCAGTAGAGCCTGGAAAGTGAAAGCCAAGCCAGCCCTGTGGCCCAGTGTGAGCATTCGAGCCCCAGTTTCGACCCTGCCTAGCAAATTGTTTCACCTCTCTGAATCATAGTTTGCTTTACAAAATGATGTGACACCAGTACCTACCTGTCTAAGGATTTAACCAGACAATGCCTGGAAAGTGCTTGGCTAGGATTGGGATTCTCCCTGCCTTTAATAGAGGTGGCTGGGATGGCCCTCTGGTTCTTCTCCTGGACAAGCTACAGAACCTCTGCAACTCAAAGCCACCTTCCTGGGGTCTGCTGTAGTTGCCTAAAAGGAGAGAAATAAGTTTTAGAACATTGCCTAACACCTTCTTTACCATTGTCACTGAACTCTCAACAAGACTTTTGCATCTGGAGAGGTAGGGGGAGACTTTCTGTTGTGAGGGCTGAGAAACCAGTGCTCGGCCCATGCTCCTGACTCCCCTCCTGTTCCTCCAGTGTCCAGATGAGGAAAGCAAGGCAGGGACAAGTGAATTGCCAGAGTCGTGCAGGAGGGATGACTAACCTGGACCTCAGTCCGACGGAGATTCCTTCCCCACTCTGGAAGGAGTCAAAGAAACAGCAACACAACAGCTGGGGACAGTGGAGTGCTGCTTTCTGCCTAAAATTTCCACATCCCTGGTACACTGCATGCTGTCCATGCTTGACAAAAGTGCGGCAGGAAGCCCCTCCTTGCCCTGCTGCCTGTCCCCCTCTGCCTTCCTCTCTTCTTCTTCACCTCCTTTCTCCTCCTGCCCAGTGACTCACAGAGCGGACTTCAGGGGTGGGCTCTACATCAGCTCTGAGCCCCAGATCACCCCCTCATCTGGATGAACAGCGCTGAGCCAGGAATGCTGAGCCAGGCTGGGCAGCCCAGTGGTCAGACACAGAGCCTCCAGGGTGCACTGTGGATGTTGGGACACAGAGCCAGTCTTCACTCAGTGCCTCCCTGAGAGGCAGAGGGTAGGGACACCTTCAGCCCCCTGATGGGGGTGAGAGCCAGGACAGGTAAAGCACCTGTCCACAGTATGTTGCCAAGGTCTTACAGCCAGAAAGTGCCACCTTCCTTTACCTTCTCTCTGTTGTCCCTGCTATAAACCCTTGCTATGGACAAGAGAAAGGAAAAATGGGGCCGGCAGTAGCCCCAGACTGGGCCCACACCCTCTGGCAGAGTTTTCCTGTTCACTCCGTGTCTCCGCTCTGGCTGGCTGTCTC